ATTCAGGCGGAGTTCTCAGCAATTCTGCTCGACCTTACCATGGTAGTTACTTACAATCTTTTTCGTTCTTAAATTTTTAGTTATGTTTGATGGAAAATTTGCAATTCCTCTGACGTGATGCTTCTGTATTATAAACAGGTTGTGGGAGTTGCGCATGCACTTAACCTTTTGTTTGGGGTGGAGTTATCCACTGGAGTGTTCTTGGCCGCCATTGATGCATTTTTATTTCCTGTTTTCGCCTCTTTCCTTGTATGACTGGTTTCATGTCTTTTTTTTAATCACCATGTTCTTGGAATAGCATTATCGGAAATGATCTGACATGCATACAAATTTTACAGGAAAATGGTATGGCAAGTACAGTATCCATTTGCTCGGCAGGTCTAGTTTTACTTCTCTATATTTCTGGCGTCTTGCTGAGTCAGTCTGAGATCCCATTCTCTATGAACGGAGTGTTAACTCGGTTTAATGGAGAGAGCGCATTCGCACTGATGGGTCTTCTTGGAGCAAGCATTGTCCCTCACAATTTTTATATCCATTCTTATTTTGCTGGGGTACCTTATTCTCTTTCTATGCATCTCTCTTTTCTATTTAGAAGCAAGAATTGTACTAAGCAGTGAACACTCTATTGCAGGAATGTACATCTTCTTCAGATGTCGACAAGAGCAGCTTGTGTCAAGACCATTTGTTTGCCATCTTTGGTGTCTTCAGCGGACTTTCACTTGTAAATTACGTATTGATGAATGCAGCAGCCAGTGTGTTCCACAGTACTGGCCTTGTGGTACTGACTTTTCACGATGCCATGTCACTAATGGAGCAGGTTTGTTCTATTAGTTTTATGTTTCATATTAATCTATAATTCATTTTAGGGATACAATTTCAGAAATTTCTTGTGATTATTAACTATTCTTTTTCTTGATTGTTGAGCACAGGTATTTATGAGTCCGCTCATTCCAGTGGTCTTTTTGATGCTCTTGTTCTTCTCTAGTCAAATTACAGCACTAGCTTGGGCTTTCGGTGGAGAAGTCGTTCTGCATGACTTCCTGAAGATAGAAATACCCGGTTGGCTTCATCGTGCTACAATCAGAGTTCTTGCAGTTGCTCCTGCCCTTTATTGTGTGTGGACATCAGGTGCAGACGGAATATATCAGTTACTTATATTCACCCAGGTCCTGGTGGCAATGATGCTTCCTTGCTCTGTCATACCGCTGTTCCGCATTTCTTCCTCTAGACAAATCATGGGTGCCCATAAAATCCCTCAAGTTGGGGAGTTTCTTGCACTTACAACGTTTTTGGGGTTTCTTGGTTTGAATGTTGTTTTTGTTGTTGAGATGGTATTTGGGAGCAGTGACTGGGCTGGTGGTTTGAGGTGGAATACCGTAATGGGCACCTCGGTTCAGTACACCACTTTGCTTGTATCGGCATGTGTATCCTTATGCCTGATGCTCTGGCTCGCAGCTACGCCGCTGAAATCTGCCAGTAACAGAGCAGAAACTCAAATATGGAACATGGATGTTCAAAATGCTTTATCTTATCCATCTGTTCAAGAAGAGGAAATTGAAAGAAGCGAAACAAGACGGAACGAAGACGAATCGATAGTGCGGCTGGAAAGCAGGGTAAAGGATCAGTTGGATACTACGTCTGCCACTAGTTCAGTCTATGATTTGCCAGAGAATATTCTAATGACGGATCAAGAAATCCGTTCGAGCCCTCTAGAGGAAAGTGAGTTAGACATAAAATTCTCTGCCTCTCAAGTTAGTAGACTTGGGGAAGACCATGATGTAAAGGAACAGTCTGTATTGCAGTCAACGGTGGTTAATGAGGTTACTGAGAAGGATTTGGTTGTTGAGACAAAGATGGTGAAGGTTGAACCGACCAGTCCTGTGGAGAAGACTGTTAGCATGGAAAATAACAGCAAGTTCATTGAAAAGGATGTTGAAGGGGTTTCATGGGAAACAGAAGAAGCTGCGAAAGCTGCTCCTGCCAGCAACTTTACTGTTGGATCTGATGGTCCGCCTTCATTCCGCAGCTTAAGTGGAGAAGGGGGAAGTGGGACTGGAAGCCTTTCACGGTTGCAAGGTTTGGGGCGTGCTGCCCGGCGCCACTTATCTGCCATCCTTGATGAGTTTTGGGGACATTTATATGATTTTCATGGGCAATTAGTTGCTGAAGCCAGGGCAAAGAAAATTGATCAGTTGTTTGGTGCTGATCAAAAGTCAGCCTCTTCTATGAAAGCAGATTCTTTTGGAAAAGACATGAGTAGTGGATATTGCATGTCTCCAACTGCAAAAGGGTTAGACTCACAGATGACTTCAACTTTATATGAATCACTGAAGCAGCAAAGGACTCCAGGAAGTATTGATTCGTTGTATGGATTACAAAGAGGGTCTTCACCGACACCTTTGGTTAACCGTATGCAGATGTTGGGTGCATATGGTAGTAATACCAATAATAATAGTGCTTATGAATTGAGTGAGAGAAGATACTCTAGCCTGCGGGCTCCATCATCTTCTGAGGGTTGGGAACATCAACAACCAGCTACAGTTCACGGATATCAGATTAAGTCATATGTTGACAATTTGGCAAAAGAAAGGCTTGAAGCTTTACAATCGCGTGGAGAGATCCCGACATCGAGAGCTATGGCGCTTGGTACATTGAGCTATACACAGCAACTTGCTTTAGCCTTAAAACAGAAGTCCCAGAATGGTCTAACCCCTGGACCAGCTCCTGGGTTTGAAAATTTTGCTGGGTCTAGAAGCATATCACGGCAAACTGAAAGATCTTATTACGGTGTTCCATCTTCTGGAAATACCGATACTGTTGGCGCACCAGTAGCCAATGAGAAGAAGTATAGTAGCATGCCAGATATTTCAGGATTGTCTTTGTCTGCGAGGAACATGCATTTGCAGAACAACAAGAGCGGATACTGGGATCCGTCCAGTGGAGGAGGAGGGTATGGCACGTCTTATGGTCGATTAAGCAGTGATACATCATTGTATTCTAATTTGGGTTCACGGGTTGGAGTACCCTCTACTTATGATGACATGTCTCAATCAAGAGGAGGCTACAGAGATGCCTACACTTTGCCACAGAATACATCAACAGGGACTGGATCACTTTGGTCCAGACAGCCCTTTGAGCAGTTTGGCGTAGCGGAGAGGAATGGTGCTGTTGGTGAGGAGCTCAGGAATAGATCAAATCCAATAAATATAGACAACAACTCTTCCTCTACTGTTGATGCAGAGGCTAAGCTTCTTCAATCATTCAGACACTGTATTCTAAAGCTTATTAAACTGGAAGGATCCGAGTGGTTGTTTGGACAAAGCGATGGAGTCGATGAAGAACTGATTGACCGGGTAGCTGCACGAGAGAAGTTTATCTATGAAGCTGAAACTCGAGAAATAAATCAAGTGGGTCACATGGGTGAGCCACTGATTTCATCAGTTCCTAATTGTGGAGATGGTTGCATTTGGAGAGCTGATTTGATTGTGAGCTTTGGAGTTTGGTGCATCCACCGTGTTCTTGACTTGTCTCTCATGGAGAGTCGGCCTGAGCTCTGGGGAAAGTATACTTACGTTCTCAACCGCCTTCAGGTAAGATAAACAAAAACCCGCCATTTTGCAGTTAGAAACAAAGCTTTATGTTTCTGACATGTACGGATTCAACAGGGAGTAATTGATCCAGCGTTCTCAAAGCTGCGGACACCGATGACACCGTGCTTTTGCCTTCAGATTCCTGCGAGCCACCAGAGAGCGAGTCCGCCTTCAGCTAACGGAATGTTACCTCCGGCTGCAAAACCAGCCAAAGGCAAATGCACAACCGCAGTCACACTTCTTGATCTAATCAAAGACGTTGAAATGGCAATCTCATGTAGGAAAGGCCGGACCGGTACAGCTGCAGGAGACGTGGCTTTCCCAAAGGGTAAAGAAAATCTGGCTTCGGTTTTGAAGCGGTATAAACGTCGGTTATCGAGTAAACCAATAGGTATAAATCAGGATGGACCGGGTTCAAGAAAGAACTTAACTGCGTACGGATCATTGGGTTGAAGAAGAACATTGAGAGAATCTCGTGATCAAAGAGAGACGTCGAGCGGGAAGCTGAAGAATCAAAACTCTTGCTTTTGATTGCTCCTCTGCTTCGTTAATTGTGTATTAAGAAAAAAGAAAAAAGAAAAAAAAATGGATTTTTGTTGCTTCAGAAATTTTTCGCTTTTTTTTTTTCTCTTCTTTCTATTTGTCTCTCTTAATTTGGTTGTAATGTTATGTTTATATACATTATCATCATCATAGGACCATAGCTACAAACCGAATCCGGTTTGTGTAATTTGATGCGGAATCAATCATAAAAAAGAATCCGCCGGTTTGAATTGTTAAACATTCTTAACCGGATTACATTACGTCGCTGACACACACACATCGACGCTGGATTGCCGACAGGTGTTCTTATCAATCTCGTCTTCTCGAATCGTCTTCTGGTTCCTTCTTATTTCTGGGTTGGAAAAAAATATAAAAAGTCCAGCAGAGTAAACCTAACAATGGGTTATGTGATCTACATCTCGTTTTCGTCGATTCTTCTCCTTCTGGTCATCGCTATCACTTTCTACCTCATCGGGAGAAAAATCGGCCGGCGAGAAGGCATGTATGGACCGCCGTTGGCTGGTTTACCGGCACCTGCACCGCCGCATAAAGCTACGGAGAAGCCACCGGAGGTTTAGCAAAAACCGTTTGTGTGTAGTCTGTGTAGGTAGTGTATGTGATGACGTAATCATCTTTGATAATGTATATGTTGTTTGTGTTACTAGATTTCACACTGTTATTGGGCCGATATTGAAACCTAATAAAGGATTCTCTTTACTGGGCCTGAGCTTTTAAGAAAACACTTCGTTCGGTTTTGTATTTCGACGTACTCACTTCTTGTCGTTTAACTTGTGTATTAACTATTAACCTAATGCAACTAAAAGAAACTACGCGGCGTTTGATGGAAGAAGAAATATTCGCTTCTTCTTTACAACTTTTTGTCCCAACGGAGAAAAGTCCTCTCTTTCTTTCTCTCTCTCTCTCGAATAATAATAACTTTTCATTTGCTGCGTCCTTTTGGTGCTTGAAGCGATGACCATGGCAGCACATCTCGCGCGACGGCTGATCGGAAACCGATCGACTCAGATCCTTGGTGCTGTGAACTCTAGCTCAGGTGCGGCCACTTCCGTCGCTAGGGCTTTCTGCTCATCCACCACTCCGATCACCGCAACTATGTTCCCTGGCGATGGGATCGGTCCCGAGATCGCTGAATCTGTCAAAAAGGTTCCTCATCCTTATTTTGAAAATTGTATTTACGAGAGAATTGTTTGAATGAATTTTGAATTGCGTACTATAATTTGCGATTGGTGGGAATTCGGCAATTTCATTGATAGTTTTTTTTAATGCTGTTTGTACTGATCCAGGTGTTTACAACAGCTGGTGTGCCAATTGAGTGGGAAGAACACTATGTTGGGACTGAGATAGATCCTAGAACACAGAGTTTCTTAACCTGGGAAAGTCTCGAATCTGTGCGTCGAAACAAAGTTGGTTTGAAAGGTCCAATGGCTACTCCAATTGGGAAAGGTCACCGTTCTTTGAACCTGACTCTTAGGAAAGAGCTTAATCTATATGCCAATGTTAGACCTTGTTACAGTCTTCCTGGTTACAAAACTCGGTACGATGATGTTGATCTCATTACCATCAGAGAAAACACGGAAGGAGAATACAGTGGCCTTGAACATCAGGTTTAATTCTTTTTTTTGTGTCTATCGATTGAACATTTCAAATTAGTTCTTCTAAGAAGTGTTGTGGATCATTGTTTTGTTTTCTCGTGACTCATAATAGGTTGTTAGAGGTGTGGTGGAAAGTCTTAAAATCATTACCCGTCAGGCGAGTTTGAGAGTTGCAGAGTATGCTTTTCTCTATGCCAAGACTCATGGAAGAGAGAGAGTTTCTGCAATCCACAAAGCCAACATTATGCAGAAAACTGACGGCCTTTTCCTCAAGGTCTGTCCTTATAACTCCATAATGCATTTAACAATTCCTTATAGGAGGATCAAAGTAATGATTATTATGTCTGCTAGGTTTTTTACCGTTTGTTTTGAGACAATGTTTACTCTGTTCTTGTTTTTCAGTGTTGTCGTGAGGTTGCTGAGAAATATCCTGAGATAACTTACGAGGAGGTTGTTATTGACAACTGTTGTATGATGGTAAGCTATGATGTCGAAACTACCAGTTTTTCATTTATTAAGTTGGTGATAGAGATTACCTTACAGATTTTAGAAGTTCGGTTTCTTAGCAACTTGTATTTGAGTTCCGTGTTACCACTGTTATAACGTGGAAGATGTGACTGATAATATTGAGATGCCTGCAGCTTGTGAAAAACCCAGCACTTTTTGACGTTTTGGTGATGCCAAACCTCTACGGTGACATCATCAGCGACCTGTGTGCCGGATTGGTTGGAGGACTAGGGTTGACTCCAAGGTGAAACACTGGCTCCTTCATCTTTAATAATAGTGTTATTTAGCGTGATTATGAGCTAAATCATCTTAAGGCCTTATTATCTATGACGCAGTTGTAATATCGGAGAAGATGGTGTTGCCCTTGCTGAGGCAGTTCACGGTTCTGCACCTGATATCGCTGGAAAGGTTAGTCCTTGAAGCAATGTATCATTTAAATGAACTCAATTCAAACCCTTACTGTTAGACCAAGTATAAAAATAAAACGGCAACAGATAGAAGAGTCCTCATCTCCTGCTATGCTCTTTGTTTCTTGGTAGCATAGTCAGATGCTTAGTCTCACTATATATTAGACTGTGTCATTTACGCGATAACGAGGTTCATTTATACATCCAATGTTTAAGCTTTAACAATCAAATGCAGAAAGGTTAGAACTTGATGAGTTGATTCAAATGCCTTGATATATGATTTTTGAATTGGTTGTCACCCTTTTGTTTTTGGTTTGGTGATGTCAGAACTTGGCGAACCCAACGGCTCTGCTTCTGAGTGGAGTGATGATGTTGCGTCATCTGAAGCTGAACGAACAAGCAGAACAAATCCACAGTGCAATCATCAACACCATAGCAGAGGGAAAATACAGAACCGCAGATCTTGGAGGTAGTTCGACCACCACAGACTTCACAAAGGCAATCTGTGATCATCTCTGAACATCGTAAAGTCCAATTCTTTATCGAATCTTCTTCTTTTGGAGGGCTTTTTACAGCCTCGAATTCTTCTTCTTTGTTTCTTGTTTACGATTAGAATAAAAGAAAAGGAAAGAAAAAAGGAAACGACTCTTCATGAGTTTGATTACTTGTGAAGTTGTTTGTTTCTGCTTGAAAACGTCTTTTTAATAGTTCTCTGTTCTCTGCCGTAAGGCAAGATTCATGACACACTGAAATTGAATGATGTTTTTCTGAATCTATCAGAAGAGTTTTGTTATTATTATTCCTTTGTGAATGCTTTTACTAATTATTATCTCAATTGATACACCGACAAAAGAAAAAGGAAAAAAGAGAGTTTATTTAATTAATTTAGTTTAAAAGTTATTTTAAGGGAAAAAACACCTTCAAAAGACCGAATATATATGTCGTTGGTGCACCAACTTCTTCTATGATTATAAACTCAAGACGCTTCTTCACTGAGCAGCACTAAACTTGCTTCCAACCAATCCCAGATCTGAATCGAGTAAACCTAAACCTCTCAAAATCTCATCATCATCATGGCTTCTTCTTCTAACTACGATGGAATCCTTCTCGGTATGGGCAACCCGCTCCTCGATATCTCTGCCGTCGTCGACGACGATTTTCTCACCAAGTAAAATAAAAACTAAACTCTCAGATCCCTCTTTTCCCAATATGTTTCCACTTTTTTGTTGTTGTATTCGCAATCTGCTTTCGGGTCTTTTAGTATGAATCTAGGTTTTATTGTTTGTTTCTTCTTCAGTAGCATCTCTATGATTTGTTTGCCATTTTTTATATTTATTGATGCTCTTCTTTTGTAATCGTGTGATGATGACAGATATGACATCAAGTTGAACAATGCGATTCTCGCTGAAGAAAAACATTTACCCATGTAAGTATTCATTTATGCTCTGCTTTTGGTATCTGTTGTGTGACTTCAGGTATTGTAAAATCACTAATCAGGAATATGAATTGAAGTAGATATTGATTCAATGCTTCACAAAGTTCTTTCTTTGTTTTATCTTTGGTTAATGCCTTGACTTTTTTAATTGTTTTATTTAAAGGTATGATGAGATGAGTAGCAAGTTCAATGTTGAATACATTGCTGGAGGTAATTAATCCTTTGTCCTGTTTAATCGCTTATAAATTGACAAGATTGTGATATTTCCATGACTCAATTCTTTCTCTAGGTGCTACTCAGAACTCAATCAAAGTGGCTCAGGTAAATTCTCTTGCCTTCTTCTTGCACCTTTTTTTGGGGTGATAAGTAAGTAACCACTGCTAAATTCAAGCTTGTTTTTTTTTTTCACTTGCTTGTGTCTTCAGTGGATGCTTCAAATTCCTGGGGCAACCAGTTACATGGGATCCATCGGAAAGGACAAATATGGAGACGCAATGAAGAAGGATGCTACAGCAGCTGGTGTCAATGTACGCTGAGAGTCCTGAATCTTCTCTGTTTTTCACCTTTTCTTTTGTTTGAGTGTATATACAGCTGGTGCTTTGTCTGTCTGTTGAAACTGAAGTTGTAATCTAGGTGCATTAACATGACAGTATGCTTTTGTATCAGGTTCACTATTATGAAGATGAGTCAGCACCTACTGGAACTTGCGGTGTCTGTGTTGTTGGTGGAGAAAGGTCGCTTATTGCCAATCTTTCGGCTGCAAACTGCTACAAGGTTGATCACCTTAAGAAGCCTGAAAACTGGGCATTGGGTAAAATTCTTTTCCAATCTTTGCATCTGTTTTAATAGTTCTGTACTTTTTCTTCATGATCTTACATCTGTGATTGAATATGTTTTGGGTAGTTGAGAAGGCCAAGTTCTACTACATTGCTGGATTCTTCCTCACAGTATCGCCTGAATCCATTCAGTTGGTATCTGAGCATGCTGCCGCAAACAACAAGGTAATAAGACATGGTCCACCATTTCATGAGACCCTGTTGCAGCAAGTGCCTTTTCTTTAACATCCCCGACTTATTCACTTGTATTTCAGGTGTTCACAATGAACCTTTCTGCTCCATTCATCTGTGAATTCTTCAAAGATGTGCAGGAGAAGTTCTTGCCGTAAGCCGTCCCTTTATCTTTTTAATCCATTACAGATTTTATGATTGCGTAAATGTACTGAAAAGCACCCTACATTGCTCGTACAGCTACATGGACTTCGTTTTTGGGAATGAAACAGAGGCAAGAACATTCTCCAAAGTTCACGGCTGGGAGGTAAGAAAATGTCTCTTGCACGACTAAATTTCAGCAGTCTGTATAGTTTTGTTTAACAGAGATAGTACTTACCCATTTTTATCTTTTTTATATACATAGACTGAAGATGTCGAACAAATAGCCATCAAGATTTCACAGCTTCCCAAGGCCACAGGAACATACAAGAGGACCACTGTGATTACACAGGGCGCTGATCCAGTGGTTGTTGCTGAAGATGGAAAGGTGAAGAAATATCCAGTCATCCCTCTCCCAAAGGAGAAGCTGGTTGACACCAACGGTGCAGGTACTAATTTTGATAATCGAAAAACAGGTTCCTACATTCAACCTTGGTAGAAACTGACATGATCATAGAACTAGCTGATCCTTACGCATGTCAAACGAACTTTCTCCTCTGTTTCATAGACAGAACCATGACCGATGAATGAACAGCTATTTTTGTTGATCTCTCTTACAGGTGATGCATTTGTGGGAGGATTCATGTCACAGTTGGTGAAAGAGAAATCGATTGAGGAATGCGTGAAGGCTGGATGCTACGCATCCAACGTGGTGATCCAAAGATCTGGCTGCACTTACCCTGAGAAGCCCGACTTCAACTAAAATGTTGGGTTATCCTCTGTTTTGTGATATCTTCCAAACGAAACAACCTTTGATTCAACAAACTCCCACGATTATTGCTCGAGTGTAGTTTTTTACCATTTTATTATCATAAGCATTTGATCATTTGATATTACTACCAGAGTTTGAGACAAGTCATGTTATTTCAATGAAGGAAGATTATACCTTCTGTCAACTAATACCTAACAATGGCTCATTAATTTCACAACATCCTTCATTAATTCTACAAACACCTCAAATGGATCCTCTCACATTAATGTTATCAAAAAACCCTAAACGTTAAAGTACGTAGAACCCTCTTATTGAATCAAAGACTCATCAAGAATAACGAGGAGAAGCGCAACGGATAACCTCAAGAAAGAAAGTTTCGTCACAAGGAATACAAAGCTTGGAATCTCCGGAAGTGAAATCGTCGTAAGCTTCGTCTTTTGATTGATCAAGCAAAGCCCTGAAGATGGGATCGTGAAGTAACGTGATCTTTATAACGAACCTCTTGTAACTGTCCTCTTCTTTACCTACGTACACCACCAGGTGTCCTTTTGGTACGTCATGTGGTATACGATATTGATCCTTAGGCTTTCCCGACGTGGCTTCGCGGTGTTTGGCAACTCTGCTTGACATTTGCTTCCATGCCTTGGTGATCAGCTTGCTTTTCTTCATCATGTTTATGAGAGAGATGAGAGAGAGAGAGAGAGAGACGTATTTGGGGTTTAGTGTGAGATAGAATGTAGAGAAGTACTAGTGTCGTACGTGTGTATATATACACAAAGTCACAAACATAGGTCCACTATATATCTATCTATTAAACGTATTTACTATATGAATAAGGTATGGGTAATGAATTTTTTGGACCATGTCGTCGTCTTTACAATAATATATACATGATGATGATCTACATTAGTTAACATGAAAGAACAATATACATTCCACTCAATACATACATATAATAATACCAAGAAAATATATAAATTAAAGATGTTGAATGTCATTATCAATTTGGTTTTGACAATAACATATGACAATTACTTAGAAACGAAAAGAAGATATACTCATCAATTAATATATATTTTTTATTTTTGTTTGGGGGATATCAACTACGGCCAAGCTGTACTTACGATATACGAAATCGTACGAACATGCATCTTCACAATCTCCTCCAATGGGCGCTTTCGCTTTAATCATTGATTCATTTTATTTTGATTTCTTTAAAAGTTTTTATGAAAACAAAAGGCTCTTTATCGGCATGGCATGCACATTGGCACTCAACTATATATAGGCATTTAGAGATAACTAGTGGTCGGTTAGTGGTAGCATCATTTTAGGTTATTGTTCGTTTTGTGAAATCTTGTATATATATAGAATGAGAAATATCATGATCTAATATATATCTAAAATATATAGTTGCCAACGAATAAATATATAAATGATACCATACTATTCGTTTTCAATCGATTCTATACGTTTAAAAGTCCATACGTATGTTAGTAGTTCATTAACTCGGTGATATTTGACTAAAGCAGAAATTTCTTGAGTAAGTAAGTAAAGATTTACATTTTGATTCAAGTTGTGAAAATAGTAGATCCCACGGTTTGATTTAATATTGTTGGTGAAAAGATAAGATTTTAAAAGAGATGAGAGAAATGAGATAAGGTTCTTGGACAAAGTGCAATTCCACTTACGTACCATACATCGCGATATGTATTCATATGCATGTAAGTAACTCACGTATTATTATTTTTTATGCTGAATTTGCTATAAATTATCTAATCCGAACGTAAATGATCTGTTAATTGCTATGTTGGATATATTAGTAGTGATCTGTCACTGATGCTTTTTCTTAATTATTTTGTAGTATTGTATTCATCATGCCAACATACGTAAGCATGTTCTAATTGTGCTAAAATGCTGTCAACCATTATATATTCTTTATATTCATTAGGGGATTCAATATTTTGTCTTATTGGTGGTCGACTATAGGGTTACTTTTTAAGAAATTTTATAAACGAATATATATAGTGGATATCTTAGAGCAACATTATAGGAAGGATGTTAGTTAGGGTATGTTAGTATTAATTTAGTATTAAATTTGAAAAAGTTGATTTAAAAGTTTTTATTTTGTTTTTAGTTTTGAGATGTGTTTATTGGTAGGATCTTAAGTTGGGTATCTTAAATTTTTTTTTAAAATTAAATAAATTTATAATTTGTAATATAAGAAAATTGACTTGTGTTTTTCATGTATGGCTAATTTTATTAGGTTTTTCTTAACATCGATTCATCAAATTCATAGTTAAATTTGAAAATTGTTATGTCATAATATAATTATCAACGTACCCAATTCATAGAAATTATAGTAATGTCATAATAAATGGTTTACAAAAAAAATAAAAAAAAATTTTAAAAAAAAATTATAATGTCATAACCCACCAAAAGAATCATTCTCCAAAAAAAACTAAAAAATTTAAAAATTAAAAAAAAAAAGCTTACCCAATCCGATTGCGCCACATGGCGTCTCTTAACCCACAAAAAGAATCGTTCTCCAACATACCCAACTCAAGTATCTTAGTAAAATTAATCAATTTTGATTTATTTTTATAACATCAATACCCTAACATACTCTCTAAAAGCCATTGTTAATATTGGTCTTACACTTGCGCATAAACATGAAATGTTTTACATATACATTTAACACTGTATACATGTACGTATAGTATGGATATATATATATATATATATATATATATATTAGCTGTATATAGTATATCTTATAACCCAAAACTGTAATTATTCTTTCTTCAACCAGAATTCCGATTGCCTGATCAAGAAAGCAATTGTTTAATCTTTAATCTTTAATCTTTTTAATTAAAAATATTCAGTGGCACTTAATTAAGATTTAAAATTCATACTGTACAGGAACAAAAAAAAATGTAGGAAATTCCACCGGACTTGTTACTAGAAAATGCTACTAGAAATATTTTTTACTATTAAGTGAAGAATTAAGTTTTCCTTATTTTTATTTTTTTAAAATCTAATTTTTGTTTGTGTTGGAGATTCCGAGGCGACCGGTTCATCCCCCCCAGAGAGACAGGCAGGTGCTTCATCCCATTGCTTCAGTGTCTCTCTTTAAGGAAACGATAGACATTATTTAGCCTTTGGATCAGAAAAATATCGATTCATTCCTAGCCGTTTGATATAACACGTCTTGCTATTCTGGTATATTTTTTTCCAAAACACCAATTTTCAAAGTGTAAATGTTTCTTAAAATGAATCGAATAAATAAATAGAAAAGCAAAGTATGGGTACTTTGCCTAGTTGAAATGTGAAAATAGATTGTAATACTTTGGTATGAGATGCTTTCTTGTCAAAATTGACATCCAACAATTGATCGTCTGTATTGTGTATATATGTAGATCAAGTCACTCGAAATTTCTAAACGGTCACATTTTTTGGAGCACATAGCATTGATGGACACCATTAACCATTCCCTTCTACTCGTCTTCTATGTCCTGCCGTTCGAACCAAACACATAAAAAAGCAAAGTTTCAGTATCCAAGGAGCATCTTGTCTTATAGTCGATATTTGGGTGTAACAATAGAGAAACTGTAGCAAACATAAATTCGTCTACAGATGAAGAAGCAAATTGTGGGGGTTGTCGAACTAATACAATTGGTACGCGGGTCTTCCATATAAGGTGTGATACAAGAATGATGAACATTTACTCACCTTTTCATGTAGAGAATCCAAAGACTACACGGCGTCGTTAAGACATTTCAAAGGGAGACTACTCACGTGATGTTTGTGAAGAAGCAATAACACTAAGAGGGGATTCAAGAACCGGATTCTAAAGATGCAACGAATGCCAAGTCTCACTCCATAAAGAATGTTGCATTGGGAAAGATTTATACATGAATCCTGGTTCAAGATTCAGGGTAAGAAGACAGGAATTCGATATTGTTCAAAACAATGCTTTCAGTATTCGACCTGTCAAAGACGTTGTAAATATAAAATGATGTTTAGAGCATCTTCTGGAGATGTATATTGCTCGATAAAACACATTTGATTTTAGCAAAAATATATGGCTCAATGAATCATGCGAAGTGCACGTGAGAAAATCAAATAAATAAGAAAGTCTCATACTTTCATTCTATTTTGTAATAAAAAAGAAAATTGTTCGGCTTTGAAACTATACATATCAAGATTAAATCTATAAATAAAGAGATTATTCATACAAATACGGTTTTAGTGGTCGATACTTTCTTCAATTAGCACTTGTCTTTTTTTATGCTTTCAATTATTATTCATTGACCAAATTGTCGACTAAAAGAATATCATAAAAAAAGAAAAGTCGTCTATCTCTCTCAACAACCTTTGACTTCCTTTATTTGATCCTCCTCCTCTTTGATGGATGGATTAGTCTTTGTTCGTCAGCTTTTCTTCCTTCTCCCATCTCTTTTATTTTTTTTTGGGTTCCAAGTTCATTTCATTAGGACCACTAAACAGCTCCTATCTTCCTCTTTTCAAGTCAACTATACTTCGCTTGGTCATTCTCTTAAAAATCTCTGTGTGTTCATCTTCTCACAAAGTTTTGATTTTTTTTGTTGTCTGTAAACAACAAAGATCTCAAAGGTCAGTTCGTAATTTTTTCTGCCAAGTTACTTTACCTTTTCTATCACAAATTTCATACTTCCTTCTGATTCTTGTTTAGGGATGAAAGAAAGGTTTTTACTTTTTAATCTTTAGTATACAATTTTTGCAGGTTAGGCAAAGAATGTTTTTTTTTTTTGGCCTAACTTGCAAAATCTAGGGTTCGTTACAGATTTTGGGGCTTTGTTAAATCTCTAACTTTATTTCACAATTCATCAGGTTCCTTGCTCTTGGTGATATAGAACTTGATCCTTTCTTTTTGGTTCAAAAATAGTGCATTTAATTGAACTTCTTCAGTTTGGTTTCTTCTAGTGTAGTCAAAGTGGTTTGGAGTTTCAATCATTGTTTTGGTTTGAATGCTACAATGAACTAAAACTTGCTCACTCTGATTCGTTTGTGTATCAGTGGAGGAACCTCGGTGTTTTAATATCTTTTCGAAGATGAAATGCTTCTTATTCCCTCTTGGGGACAGGAAAGATGACCAGAGAAGCCCTAAACCGGTTTCACCAACCTCTAACTTCAGTGATGTAAACAAAAGCGGTTCAGATTTCAGTCCCCGGGATGTTTCTGGAACGAGCACTGTATCTTCCACTGGGAGGAACTCGAACATAAGCATCTCAGCTAGAGAAAACAACCTTAGAGAGTTCACCATTGGTGATCTTAAATCTGCCACAAGGAACTTCAGCAGGTCTGGTATGATCGGGGAAGGCGGTTTTGGTTGTGTCTACTGGGGAACGATCAAGAGCTTAGAAGACCCGTCTAAGAAAATCGAAGTTGCGGTTAAACAGCTCGGCAAAAGAGGGTTGCAGGTAAGGTTTTGTACATCCTTGTTCACAGTATTCTTCATCTTCATCAATGGATATCATATAACATTTAGATATCATGCTTTGGTTTTTGCAGGGTCATAAAGAATGGGTGACTGAAGTAAACTTTCTCGGTGTAGTCGAGCATCCAAACTTGGTGAAACTGCTGGGCCATTGTGCAGAAGACGATGAGCGTGGAATCCAAAGGCTTTTGGTTTATGAATATATGCCGAACCAAAGCGTTGAGTTCCATCTATCCCCGCGGTCACCAACTGTACTTACTTGGGACCTCAGATTGAGAATAGCCCAAGACGCAGCTCGAGGTTTAACATACCTTCATGAAGAGATGGATTTTCAGGTAAATGAACATCAAATCCTCTGTTTTTTTTTTCACTTCATCAGTCTCTCTCATCAGTTAACTAAAAATATGTTTCTTTTTGTAGATAATATTCCGCGATTTCAAGTCATCCAACATTCTATTAGACGAGAATTGGAAAGCCAAGCTTTCAGATTTCGGTCTGGCTCGCTTAGGGCCTGCACCAGGATCAAGTCATGTTTCTACTGATGTAAGTTTTTTCACATTTTCACTTGATTGGTGATAGAAATCATTGCAAGATCAAGAAAGTTGTATTTTTTTTTTCGGGTTTAACAGGTGGTAGGAACAATGGGTTACGCAGCTCCAGAGTATATCCAAACCGGTCGTCTCACATCAAAAAGTGATGTATGGGGTTACGGAGTTTTCATCTATGAGCTCATTACAGGAAGGAGGCCGCTAGACCGGAACAAGCCTAAAGGAGAGCAGAAGCTTCTAGAATGGGTGAGACCTTACTTATCAGACACAAGGAGGTTCCGGCTCATAGTAGACCCGAGGCTCGAGGGGAAGTACATGATCAAACCAGTGCAGAGACTCGCGGTTGTAGCCAATCTTTGCCTTGCTAGGAATCCAAAGGCGCGTCCAAAGATGAGTGAGGTGTTAGACATGGTGACAAAGATTGTGGAATCATCATCGCCTGGGAATGGTGGCAAGAAGCCGCAGCTGGTTCCGCTAAAGAGTCAAGAAGCTTCTAGAGACGAGGAAGAGAAGAACAAGAAGGATCTTGATGGTGGCGAAGGAGGTTGGCTGGAAAAGTTGTGGAACCCAAAGAATGTGAGAGCTTGTTGATACGGGCTAAGTCAGAAACACATTAGTGAAGTTCAAAAAAGCCTTTGTTTAAATACTGTAATTTTAACAAACTTGTGAGTTTTCTTACATTCAATTTTTTCCTTTTTTTGTACTAATTCTGTTAATTTTATTGTTTGTTGGGATTCTCATATTAAGCTTCTTATTAAACGATGTATCTGAAATATGTATGATCCAAGTGCTTTCGAAGTCTTTTTGCAGTACTTCACTCACCTCGTAGCAGCTAACATCAACAAGCTAATAGGCTATTTGGGCCTTTGGTCACAATCTTATGATAAGCCCATTATAAAGCTCATACGGTCTGTTAAAATCGGTTTAAACTAGGTAACCTCTTCGCCCACCTTCTGGGCCTTTGAGCACAATCTTAATAAGCATATGATAAGCCCATTTTTTATTCACATTCACAAAAATTGAATGCACTATGCATCTGCATCATCCATGGATCAAGAGAGGGTCGAGTCGTCGTCACTAATTCATATGCATTGATGCCTAGTTATCTATTATCATCATAGTCACATACTAGTTTTAAGAAATTTCGTTTCAGATTTTTTGTTTAAATTTAAGTTTAGTTTTTAAGAACTCGAAATTTAAATGAAAATTATCCAGGAAGAGGAAAAGAAAAAAAAAAAAAACACATTAAGTGGAATAATGTTGATAAGATTGCATTCAACTCATGTGTACTAACAATGGCAAACAATCTGACTTTTGAAGCATTGATTTTGGCTGAAAACAGGGGAAGCCATTAAACTTATAGCCTCTAGGTTCAATTATCATATATGACATCTCAAGATTTATTAAAAAAAAATTTTTTGTATAAAAGTGACGTGAAAAGCAAATACAGTAGGCAAATAAAATTTCGAGTAGCTCATTAGTGTTAAATAAAACTCAATTGAGAGTGATTCACATAGTAAGTTGAGAAAATCTAGTTATATAATATCAACATAACATATTGTAAGCATTTTATGCAAACATTATAGTATACATTATTATTTACATAATCGAACTTTGGAGAACCCTTGCTGCATTCGAAAGCATGTGTCAAGTTTGTTATATCTCTTGGATAATACGAATCACTAAGTATATTACTTCTTATACAGTCACGCTAATCACGTATTACTTTTTTTTGTCAAGTAGCTAGTATTGTCACTAGATTTATTTATCTATTTACATGGTATGATTGGTCTGAACATAGAATTTATACTAAACCACAATGCAATGCATGCATGTTGTTTTGGTAGTTATGCTCTCTATGAAGTATGAACTACCATAATAGTAACATTTATTCATATTTTAACTCTATATAATAATGCATTGACCCTTTTGAAATGGACTATTTTGGTTATTGTATTACAACTAATTGACATGTAACATATAATATGCACATAGGATAATCGTTTTTTATATATATAACAGTGTTGCTTAAAAGACTACATCAGCATAATCCTCACAACTACTTATGACGTTCATTAAAAACCACACGATAATTACGTATAAGTTTAAATAAATTTTGCTACCTAACAAAATTATTCGTTACAAATGAAATTACACACAAATAATGGCTTTTGGGTTTCTCAAATCATTCATGACCCATGCCATAAATTGTTTTATAAATTATATACCGTAATATTATAACATTAGGCTGATTCAACATAAAATTGACTAGTTTCCTCTTTTTTATACTAGTATTTTTTTGCGAAGCAATTTGACATATTATATTACGACTAGCTAGTCCATTTACATTATTTTAAAGTATTTAATCTCATTAGTGTAGATCTCATTGCTGCATGAATATGTCAATCTAGGTTCCTTTTTAAATAATTTGAAGCATTCGTAAAGCATTCCATATGATATGATTCATTCACCGCGAGAACATAGAACCTTGTTCATTTATTATAACCTAGAGAATGCTTTAATAAAATCAAATTTGTTTTTATGTGTTCCCTAAGAATATTAAAATGTATTGCGTGGGTTTTAAAAATTAATAAAAATTAAACAAAGGGGGCTGCCTGAAATAATTGAATTCGATGGTTTTGGAATTCAATAAAATTGAGTTGGTGCCACGTGTAATTCTTACACTGACAATTATAAATAAAGTTATTTATTCCCGCCGGATATGATTGGGAATGTAATTAATCAAAAAACTATGCAGCCATGTGTTTTATTATTGGACCCTCTTTTCAGAAAATTTTCAATATTTTTAGCCTAACACTTTGGTTTAAATTTGTATTTTCACTTTTAAAACTATTACATTTGCATGCTAATCCTTCCTTAAATGCTCATTAACTACAAAACTGATTTTTTGGGGATTTGTTAAAGTGTCCAAAATATTTACGATGAAAAGAAATTCATGATTCATTTATGATTTTATATCAAGGAAAAAATAAATGGAAATAAGATTTTTGCATGTAAAAAGAAAATAAAATAAAAGGAAATTAAGATTTCTTACAGGATGACCCGGTAAATTTGAAAAAAAAGTCAGAATATTCAATCTAATCACACAAACAAAAATCAAACTTTACTTTGATGAAAATAATGATAAAGCTTTTCGTTTTTTCCCCTTAATTCATTTCATGCCATTAGATTTTACTTCTTTTGTTTTCCATCTATAAACAACTTGTTAGCTCAAGTCTAAAAAAATAAATTAATAAACATAATCTAATATAGATTCCATTTCAATTCCATCTATGATAAGAAAAATAATTTAGTATCAAAACTAGATTCTACGCCCCCCTAATTGATAAAATTATAGATTTTGCTAATCAAGTTTATTTATTCTCAAGTAGACCTCTTTGGAAAATGCTCTCACAACATTAAAGAATAATAAATAAAACAATAAATTATAAGTGACGAAATCTTGACCGTTCATATTAATGATCCGACGGCTACAAAATCTTATGACAAAAGAGCAAAAGCCCCCAGAATTTCATATAAATATTGAGTGGCATTTTGCGCGTTTTCTCATTTTATTTTTTATCTTTTTTATTATTTTTGTTTTTCTGGGTTTCTCAGAATCGAAAAAGGCGACAACTTTATTTTTATTCGAATCATTCTCGATCCTTTTTTTTTTTTTCCATTTCTTCATCTTCTTCATTCATCCGCCAAAAAAATTGAGTCTTTTCAGAAGAAAAAAGTTGCGAAAAAGTAACACAAAATCCCATTTTGAAATTATGTTTACTATTTCCAACCTAAATTCTCAATCTTTCTTCCTGAATTTCTAGTAAAATTTGTCTATTTTTAGTAAAAAAAAATCAATTCCGTCTTCAAGTTGCAGGGATTAAGCAAGTGAAAGGTGAGTTTTTTTCTCCTTTTTGATCTTACTTCTTCTTACAAACTATATTATTTTCTCAGATCTAGGTCGGTTTTTATAAATCTTTTTTTTTTATATATGTATCCTCGATTCATAGCGAAAAAAATCGAGTCTTTGAGTTCATTACTAAATCTCCAAGTTGGTCTCTTTGTTCGACTCTTCAAAAGCTTTGATTGCGACAATGACAACAGTGTCTAATTTAGGAAAAAACGAACATTGATTGGAGAATTTTGGAGTAACAACATTGTATTAGTTCTTTAGAAGTCACATTCCCCTCTTTGTTGAAAAGTCTCTGTTGTTTAATTTTCCCGTCAATGCCCAGAGAGGTCTCCCAAGATTTACGCAACTCAACTCTTTGTGTATATTTATTGAATTTTTTTGAGTGTAAACTAAGTCTTTTCGTTTTGTTTTCTTCTTTGAAGAAATGGGTTATTTGATTTTGATTTGTTATGGATAAGATTTTTTGATTTCCTGATAACATTTTTCTTGGCAGGTTTTTTTTTTTTTTTTTTTTTTGGTTGAAGATGGTGTCACATGAAGAAAACACAGGTATTGTGGAATGGTTTCTTGGTCCGCATCCATACGCGTATCCTCCTTATGGTATTGAGATGATTCATGAGGATGATGAAGTAGCTCATCATCACCAGAGCGGTGAGTATTACAGAGAGTATGAAGATCATCATCCTAGTAGCGATGTAGATAATGATGAGATCATTGCAAGAACACTCCAAGACGATTTTTTGCAGCTTGAAATCGCAGAAAGTAATGATTATCCGCATCAACAACAACAACACCATCAACAAGAAGGTTATACTAACAACTATAGTAATAACAACAATGGATATGCTTGGAATGATCGGCCTGCTGTGAATTATTCTTCAGGTTATTATTGAACAAGCTCTTCCAGTGGTTTATGCTTTTTATGTTGTTATGGTTTTGGGGATTAAATAACAGAGATGTGATTTTGGGTGTTGTAGAATGGGTAGGAAATGATAACGATCAAGATGGGAGGAGTGATGATTCGGTTAACGTCTTTTCATGTTCAAGCCCGAGTGACACGGATGAGTATGTGTACTCGTGGGAATCAGATCAATGTGATGCTGATGGTGAATTTGGAAGGAGATTGAATCAAATGGTTCCCATTCCGGTTAGTATTCTAGAGATTCTATTATGTTTAAATTGATGTTAAGATGTTCTTTTCATTTGACAATCGATTGTGATCTATATGCAGTATATACCAAAAATAAATGGAGAAATACCTCCAGAAGAAGAAGCAGTTTCAGATCATGAAAGACTTCGGAATAGGTATGTTTGTTTTCTCATTTTTGTTTGCTATCATATCGAAGCCATTCTTGATTCCATTATTTTATCATTGTTTCAGGTTAGAGATGTTTGACTTCACGGAGGTTAAGGTTCCAGGGGATGGTAATTGCCAGGTAAACTTCTTCATTAAGTGAATTGTTGTGGAAGAATTAGATTCTTACTCATCATTTTTAATCTTGAATACTCCCTCCCAACTTTTTCTTTTCAGTTCCGTGCTTTAGCTGATCAACTGTACAAAACCGCAGATCGCCATAAACATGTTAGACGACAAATAGTAAAACAGGTTTGATGTTCTTATTGCTCTTCAGAATCTTTACAAGCTTCCACAAAGTCGCATGAACTCATTTTTTTGCAATTTTCATCTCCTGGTTTAGCTCAAATCTCGTCCAGATTCTTATCAAGGATATGTTCCTATGGACTTCTCTGAGTATCTAAGAAAGATGTCACGGTAAAATCTCTTCTCCTAGTGGACTCCATAACCGCTTCTGTTTCCCCTTCTCTTATTTAAGCCTAGTGTTAAATTTTGAAACAGGAGCGGTGAGTGGGGCGATCATGTGACATTACAGGCAGCTGCAGATGCGGTATAACTTCTTAAAGTTGAAAAATATGAGCTTATCTTCATTTGCTTTTCTCAGTTTATAGTTAATCAGTTTGGTGAAACATTTTAACATTGCAGTATCGGGTGAAAATAGTAGTCCTAACATCGTTCAAGGATACATGTTACATCGAAATTCTTCCTACCTCCCAAGAGTCCAAAGGAGGTAAAGAGTTTATTTCACTGTAAATTTGCTTGTCTACTATATTCCTATCTTGTGATTGTTATTACAAATACCTTTTATTTTTGCTCTTGTTGTCTGCAGTAATCTTCTTGAGCTTCTGGGCAGAGGTTCATTACAATGCCATCTACTTAAACAGAGGTAACTTGTAGAAATCTTATATTTTACAGACTATGTTTTGCTTCTTTCCTCTTCATCTTAGTTCTCTTCTTCTTCTTCATATTGTTGGTGTTCAGATACATCTGAAACAGAGCTACAGAGGAAGAAAAAATGGTGGCGTTTCGGAAACTAGACAGGCCAAGGATCATCATCACTGGGTTACATTAATATTTATTGACTTGAGAGAGGGATGTTCTTTGAAATAGTCCCTTCGTAGAGAGAGGATGAACAGAGCTCACAGCTTCAAAAAGGCTTACAATAATATTATTTTCTTCTTTGAAAGAAAGAAAATTTTCTGCCAAAAAACAGAATTAACAAATGAAATAAAAAATACACAACATTTTGATCATTTCCTTGTTCATCTAGTCCAAATCCGAACGAACAGTTCCAACGAATTAACTTTTTGTCGTATATTATTACTTCTAAGAATATTAACCTTAGGAAACTGATCAAAAGGATTGTGAATGAAATAAACATCGAAACAATTTCCTAAGTGAGTCTTTTGAGTGATGGATAACATGACAAACCCGGAGGAGTTAACTGTGTCGCTCTAGACATCATCTAAAAGATCAATTTAAGTTAAAAAGAAAATAAAAAACCATTACTGTGCGAGATCATAATCTAACTGTAGAGATCGTCGTCCTCAGCTGCAGCTGATGAAGTGGCAAAGGGATCAGCGGCTGCACCACCAGTAGTGCGTCCGGCAGCAGCGGTTGGGTCAAACCTGAACTCAGATCCAAACCCTCTCGATTGCTGCAGCGTCTGAGCAAAAGCTTGGTACTTGCGAATATCAGCATCACTTACACTTCTCCTTGCATATTTCATTGACTCTTCGAAATGGGCAGCTCTAATCTCTGCAACTTCATCATCAACCATATCTTCCTCCATAGCCTCTGGATTCTCGCTCCTTCTACGCTCTCTCTCGATATCCTGAGGAACAAAAAAAACACAAAATATTGTCAAGATTAAAACGAATTGGCATTTAAGGTTACTCAATCATGTTTCAGGAGGTAAACAAATCTCTGACCTTCTCAATGTTTTCTCTGATGGCGTACTTGCAAGCTCTCTGGCAGATTTCAGTGATATCAGCACCACTGAATCCCTGGGTGTACTTAGCAAGTGCAGTCACATCGACATCTTTAGCAACAGGAGATTTTCGCAAGCAGGCCTTGAAGATATTGAGACGGGAATCTTCATCAGGTAGAGGAATGTAGATAAGCTGGTCGAGTCTTCCAGGTCGAAGAAGAGCTGGATCGATGATATCAGGTCTGTTAGTTGCTCCAATAATGAATACTGTCTTCTTTGCGTTCATTCCATCCATTTCTGTTAAAAGCTGATTCAATACTCTATCAGCTGCACCGCCTGCATCACCCACGCTGCTTCCTCTCTGAGTAGCAATGGAGTCGAGCTCGTCAAAAAACAGAACACAAGGAGCAGATTGACGAGCCTTGTCAAAGATTTCACGGACGTTGGCTTCACTTTCTCCAAACCACATTGTGAGAAGCTCAGGTCCTTTGACACTGATGAAGTTTGCTTGGCACTCGTTTGCTATGGCTTTGGCTAAAAGAGTTTTCCCACATCCAGGAGGACCGTAGAAAAGAACTCCCTTTGATGGAGACATTCCAAACTTTTCGAATTTCTCTGGATGCTCCACAGGGTATTGAACAGTCTACATTAACACAAAAACAAAAAATTGATCAGATCAGTTCTAATAAATGAAACAATTTTGATCAAATCTAAGGATGTAAAAACAATTTTTACCTCTTGAAGCTCTCTCTTAACATTCTCAAGACCTCCAATATCCTCCCAGGAGACATTTGGAACCTCCACAACCTGTGAAAATAAAATGAAATGAAATTATCAATATCAAACAGGGTAAGAAACAGGTTAGTATACAATTACAAGTAAGGATCAAACTTACAGTTTCACGAAGTGCGGATGGGTTGCTGTTTCCAAGAGCTGTATGAAAGTGTTCATTAGACACCGCCATGGAATTGAGGATTTCGGCGTCAATAGAGTCATCTTCCAAGTCAATCACATCCATCTTCTCTCTGATACATTGAAGGGCAGCTTCAGTGCATAGAGCTGCAAGATCAGCTCCAACATATCCATGCGTGTCCTTGGAGATTCTTTCTAGATCCACCTGTTTAAAGGAAAATATAAAAGGTTAATATACATTGCAACCAGAAAACATCAAAAAAGCTTCCAAATATGCTTAGATGATAGAAAATTTACATCTTCAGCTAGCTTCATGTTCTTCGTGTGGATCCTAAGAACTTCAAGACGTCCAATTTCATCAGGAACACCGATGTCAATTTCCCTGTCGAATCTTCCAAACCTTCTCAAAGCTGGATCAATACTGTTGGGGCGATTTGTTGCTCCCATAACAATAACATGGGCACGAGATTTCAGTCCATCCATAAGCGTAAGGAGCTGAGAAACAATCCTCCTCTCAACCTCTCCATTTGTCTTATCTCTTTTTGGGGCGATAGAGTCAATCTCATCAATGAAAATGATAGAAGGGGCGTTCTTCTCAGCCTCCTCAAATGCTTTCCTGAGGTTGCTCTCACTCTCACCAGCCAGTTTCGACATGATTTCTGGTCCATTGATACAAAAGAAAAATGCTCCGGTTTCATTAGCCACAGCACGAGCGATAAGTGTCTTCCCAGATCCAGGAGGTCCGTAAAGCAGAATTCCTTTTGGTGGCTTCACACCAATTGATTTAAAGAGTTGTGGATGCCTCAAGGGAAGTTCAACCAATTCCCTAATCTGAGCCATCTGTTTCCTGACACCACCAACATCGTCATAACCAACCTCATCAAGCCTTTCTTCGTCCTCCCTCTTAACTGGTTCGCCCTCACAGAAAATCTCTGTATCTGGAGCCACCACGCAGTACTCAGCAGGATCAGTCTCGATTACTTTGAACTCCACACTCCTCATTCCTCCTCTCACTAGGAAAAGATCTCCCTTCCTTACTGGGCGGTAAGCCTCAAGGAAGTAAGCTGTTGAAAAAAATCAATATAAGTTCAGAAACCAATAAAAAATAATAAAAAAATATGTTACAGCAAACAAAGACAAGCTAGACTATGATACGAAATAGAATACAAAAACTCAAACAAACTTACGTTTCAGATAAGCATCAAAGAGGTTTCCAGTAACCCCTTCCACTGTATCGTCAACTGGCAAGATGTGCACACGCTTTCCATACTTGACATCTGGGCATTGGTGAACAGAAATAACATCTCCCAGCCTAACCCTCAAGTTAGACCTTACAACCTTATTCATTCTGATCTTGGGTTCCTCACATGATTCATCAGCAAGGGCAATGCACACAGTGTCCTTCCTTTTCTTACCCTGCAAAGCCAAAACCCAATCATGTTAGAAACATAGAGAAAAAAACCAATTCTCAAACTAGAAAAGTGAAAAGTTGTAACCCTAATATGCACTTATTTACAAGATCATACAAAGTAAGAAAATCTTAGTGATATACAGCAAAGACCCTGACGACCTAGCACAATTGCGGACACAAAAGACAGTCTACTTTCAAAATATTAGCCAAGCAAGAAAAAACCCTAATTTGGCAAACCAACATTCTATACTCAACTCTCAAGAGGGTCATAGCAGCGACAAAATCCAAGCATAGCACAACTTAGTACTCAATAATATAACACTCTAGACATAAGGAGTAAAAACCTAACCTTGATGAGAATTGTATCGCCTCGGAAAAGCTGGAGCTTTTCCATGGTAGCAGGATGGAGAGAGACAACAGAGTTGTCATCGTTAATAGCTTCATCGACAACGAGTCGATTAGGAGACTTCTTCCTCTCAAGAATCGCAGTACTGAAATCCTTCTTAGGTTTCCTGAAACAAAAAACAACACAGGAAGTTGGTAAATCAGCTGAAAAGATGAGATCAAACTAAAAAACCCTAATCACACATCGAAAAAAGAACACCAAGCAAAAAAAAATCGAAACTTAATGATCGGAAAACGAGAATCGAAGATCTGGGTGTACTTACGAGTCGGAGGATTCAGGTTGGTTTGACATAGTAATAGCCGAAATCGCCCAAAGAGAGTGTTTTCTCTGAAGAAAGTTGCGAAATTTATTTCTAAAGAGAAGGTTTTGAGATGATGATGATGATGACGATGAATGGTTTATGGGATCTCAAGGCAGCTGGTTTTGGGATTTATAGCTCTGTGATTTCCTTCTTGTTGGAAAAAGAAGCGGAATTTAATTATTTCCTTTTTCCTTTTTTTATTTATTCATCTTTAAACGACCCCTAACTTTTAAATCATTCCCAAAAAGTTCCCATATTTATTTATTATCATTAAACACCTATTATTTTCCTTCAATTTTTTATCATTCATTTTATATTATTATATGATTTATCAAGCATTCAAACAACAATATTAACTAAATTTAGGAAGAAAAAAAATGTATTTCATTGTGAGTAATTTTAACCTTAATTTAATAATTTCATATTCTGAGGAGGATACCTAAATGTGAATTAAAAAAGTCATGGGGGAAAGTTGAAAATAAAAGTTAAAGTTGTTCCTTTGGGTTCTTTTTTTCTTTTTTTTTTTTTTGTCGACAAGTTCCTTTGGGTTCTAGTCTTCTAGGTGTGATAACAAAACACAAGAAAGGAATAGAAGTGTCTTACTTAGGTAGCGGTATCAAGCAAGCTACATGTTTTCTATTTTTCTTTTTTTTCCTTTTTTCTATATAGAAATTTTACTATCTTACCATTTATTTTCTTAGGTCTAAATTACAATGCCCAACTCAATACCAAAAAAAAAAAAAGAAATACAATGCCAACTTCTTCTTTTTTTCTCGACTTTTTAATACCAATTTATAACCCAAAGAAATAAATGTCTCCATCTAAAATATATCTTAATCAAATATGAAATCTAAACAAATTTTTTGGTATTGAAAAGCTCATTAAAAATTGAACTTATTTTTGTAAATGGTTAACAAATTAATTGCATTTTGTTCCGACTAAAAATATTTATTTTAGAAAAAGAGTTTGTTTACAAGATTATGAATTAAAATATTTTGTTATCTGCCGACCAAAAAAAAAAAAAAAAAATATTTTGTTATCTCAATCTAGAATATCGGTGAGTGAACGTCTAGAATATTCTCAATCTAGAACTACGCAGCGTTTATTGATCTCTTCGATATCAGACGTTGCGTCGTTTTCGATTTGAGATTTGCGATATTATAAACTACATGCCGTTTTGAAAACTCCACTGATCGTCGTCTTCTATTCTAGTTTGATTCTCGGCGGAGGATACTCGACGAGAAAATCCAGATCGGGAATTATCTTTGAGAAGAGGAAAAAGATAACTGAACTTTTTTAAACATGAATTTAGGTTTCGTAGTTGGAGTTTTCGGCGTTCTGATTCTCTCCCATGCCGCTTATTCAACAATCCAATGTATGTGTCTACTCGTTTGAATCCAGTTCCAGTTGAGTCAGATCTACTTTAACTTTTGAGATAGCGTCTATATATCTTGATTTGGGTTTCTCTTATTCGTCTCAGATAGAGGATTGTTGAAGATCATGGAGGAAGAGTTTTCTCGACCACCGATGAATGTGAGTATATTATAAAGGTTTCTCTTTTTCCCCAAACTGGGTTGGAATTTTGTAAGCAGTGATTATATGTCTTATGATTTGGTTTCTTAAGGTTATTCTGGAGCTGATCATTGGACTAGCTCTGTGTATGTGGGCTGCTTTGACTTTCCCTGGGAAATTTCTCTCGATCCATCCGGATTCCGATGAAAATAGGTTTGCTATCATGTTTCCCTTGAACTCTCAGTTGTGTATCA